AGGGAGGGAGGGAGGCGGGGGGTGCAATAAACAGTAAGTGACAAGTGAACGGGGTTGTTTTCAATAAAATTTATTCACAAAAATAGGCAGCAGCCTGCAGGCAGGCCTTAATTGCAGTACAATGTGTGCTACACATGGTGTGTTGGCTGAGGGAGGAAACGTGTATGTGTTATGTACATGCGGAATCTCCCCGAAGCAACACATAAGAAACCATTCGTCAGGTCCCTCCTGGGAAGGGAACTGGGGGAAGGGAGTGAGGAAGAGAGTTTTACTCTTATACCCTTTTGCATCTTTTGAATTTAGAACACTGTAAATTCAAAAGATAAATTTATTGTATCTTTTGAATTGATTTATCTATTCAAAAATATCACTCAATGAAATCGCTGATTTTTTTCAGGTATGTAAGTCTTGGAGAGAAAGCACTGAGAAAGGGGGCTCCATCTGAGGGTCTCACCTGGATCCCTGAAGCTGGACCACGCTCTGCCCGAAGCCCTTTGCGTTCTCTTGGAAGGTCATTACGTTTTCAGTGTCCAGGTTGAACCCATGACATAAGGTCAAGGCTAAAGGGAGAATGGGGGAAGAGTGAAACAGAGGAAAGTAGCATGCCAGCCAGGGGCAGGGGCACACGTCTGTAGTCCTAGCACTTTAGAAGGCTGAGGCAGGAGGATCACTTGAGCCCAGGAAGTTGAGGCTGCAGTGAGCCCTGATTGTGCCACTGCACTCCAGCCTGGGCAACAGAGAGATATCCTATCTCAAAATAAAACACATACACACACACACAAAAATAATGATAATAATAATAATTTAAAAGAAAGCAATGGCTGGCCGTGGTGGCTCACGCTTGTTATCCCAATAATTTAAGAGGCTGATGTGGAAGCATCACCTGGGCTCAGGAGTTTAACACCAGCCTAGCAATACAGTGAGACCCCCATCTCTACAAAAAATAAAAAATTAGCCAGGTGTAGTGGTACGTGCGTGTAGTCCCAGCTACTTAGGAGGCTGAGGTGGGAGGATTGCTTGAACCCAGGAGGTCAAGGCTGCAGTGAACCATGATCATGCCACTGCACTCCAGCCTGGGCAACAGAGCAAAACCCTGTATCAAAAAAAAAAAAAAGAGATAGCAGCATATCTTCCTGCTCCATTCCCCTTCCCGTCCATTCGGTCACCCTAACTAACCCAGCATCCAGATGTCTGCCTCCCAGGTACAGCTCTGATAGCCTGGGGCAGGGATTAGCACACTTTTTCTATAACAGCCAGATAGTAAATTTTAGGTTTTGCAGGCCAAGAGGCTGATAGAATACGTTGCACAAGTACTCATACAACAAGACAGAAAATACTTTTCCACAAATTTGTCATTAGGGAAATTCCAAACGTAATGATTAAGTACAATTTGTTCGTAATACAGGTTTATGAATGGGACAAATAGAATTCTTTGGGGGTGGTGCTCCCTATGATCAAATCGATTGTCAGTGTTCATCTTCAACCTCTGGCTGGCAGGTTGTGCAAAAACAGGTGGTGGGCCATATCGGGCCCCCAGGCCACTGTTCGCTGACTCCTGACCTAAGAACCGCCATCATGGGGTACGTCCAGTCCCGCTCTGAATTCCAGCCTCCCTTCTGAGCACCCAAATGGTCTCTTCCCCCAGTGTCACCACAATGATGATTTGCCCAACAGTGAAGTTTCTATGCATTCTCAATTAGATAATTTCCTTCCCATGCAGCTCTCAAGCATTTCCTTCCCTTTTGTGGAGAATTTCATTTGCCACAACATACAAGCATAAAAGGAAACAAACTCAAATCGTTTTGATTCATCAGTCATTCAACAAACATTTGCACCCGGGTCCTTGGAAAATGGAACCGGAGGCAAAGTGGAGATGGTGAGAGGGGATCCAGGAGGAAGTACGCAGGAAGGGGGTCTCACACTTGCTGTGCACCCTGGGCCACGTCACTTCTCCTCTCTGGGCCGCCGTCTCCTCATCTGTGAAGCAAGGACCAACCAAGCAGCCTTGCACAGTCCGTGAATGTGGTCATTCATCCAGGCTTCCCTGGCCAGCCTGTCTGGGTCTAGCTGTTCTCCCTGCTTCTTCTTGAACCCTTTCTCCTTCCCCAATCCCCTTTGCCTCTCCCCAGACTGAATCCTACATACTCTGGGCCCTCTCTTTATGACAGACCCAAAATTTCCCCTCCTCCCCACCCAGAGTCCCCCACCCCACCCCCATGCACCTGTTAACAGAAGGACTCTGAGAGCCATGGCTGGAAGGAGCCGGAACCTGGAAGGAGGTGAACCAGGGGTTGCAGGCGCCACTGAGGAACCCCAAGGAAGCTGCCAAAGCAAGGAAGGGCAGAAAAGGAGAAGTAGGAGGCAGAAGTCTATCAGAGATTCAAAGGAAGAGGGCGGAGGCTCAGTGACCACACAGCCCTGCCTGGTCTTCCTCCCAGTCCTCCCAGCACTGCCCACAGCCTGCCCACCCTTCCTCCCCAGCTTCCTGGCTCAAACCATCAAAGTCACTACCACTATCCAAAAGGTGCCATTTGTCACATACTCGTTTCTTGGGTTGGCCAAAGCATATGAACAAGCTGAATAGACTTAGCCTGCCTCCTGGAATTCATGTTCTAAACATTAATACGGGCCAGGCGCAGTGGCTCACGCCTGTAATGCCAGCACTTTGGGAGGCCAAGGCAAGAGGATTGCTTGAGCCTGGGAGTTTGAAACCAGCCTGGGCAACACAGAGAGACCCTGTCTCTACAAAAAAATATTTTTAATTCGCTGGGCACAGTGGTGCGCACCTGTATCCTCTGCTACTCGAGAGGCTGAGGCGGGAGAATTACTTGAGCCTGAGGTCCAGGCTGCAGTGAGCTATGATCACACCACTGCACTCCAGCCTGGGCAACATAGCGAGATGCCATCTCTACCAAAAAAAATACATTTAAAAAATTAGCCAGGCATGGTGGCACATGCCTGTAGTCCTAGCTACTCAGGAGGCTCAGGCAGGAGGATTGTTTGAGCCCAGGAGTTTGAGACTGCAGTGAGCCCCAATAATGCCACTGCACTCCAGCCCAGGTGGCACAGTGAGACCCTGTCTCAAAATAAATAAATAAATAAATAAATAAATAAATAAATAAGCAAACATTAATACCGATCAAACAAGTATAGGAGGTCAAACTCTGTGTCTTCCTGGAAACATACTTTGCAAAATGTCCCTCGTTCAGCCCATGGAAATGGGCGCGCCCTTCAGCCAGAGCAGTCCTCATCTGTAGCCATCAACAAGGACAACTCAAGTACAGGCACATCTTGTGCTTTTTAAGTATTATTTTGTGCTTTTTTCAGAGACAGAGTGTAGCTCTGCTGCCCAGGCTGGAGTGCAGTGGTATAATCACAGCTCACTGCAGCTTCAATTAACCTCCTGGGCTCAAGTGATCCTCCTACCTCAGCCTTCTGAGTAGCTGGAACTACACGCACATGCCATGGCCAGCTAATTTTTTTTTTTAATTTTTTGTAGAGACAAGATCTTGCTATGTTGTTCAGGCTGTTCTCAACCTCCTGGACTCAAGTGATTCTCCTTCCTCAGCCTCTCAAAGTGCTGAGATTACAGGTGTGAGCCACTGCATCCAGCTTATTTTGTGTGTGTGTGTGTTTGTTTGTTTGTTTTTTAAAAAGGCCTCAAGCTCTTCACCCAAGAATTTTCACTGCTAGTAATTTATCCTAAGAAATAGTTAAGAAGTATAGTCAAAAGTATATGTACAAGCTTGGCTGGGCTCGGTGGCTCATGCCTGTAATCCTAGCATTTTGGGAGGCCAAGGCGGGTGGATTACTTGAGGTCAGCAATTGAAACCAGCCTGCCCAACGTGGTGAAACCTCATCTCTACTAAAAGGACAAAAGAATTAGCCAGGCGTGGTGGCAGGCACGTACAATCCCACCTGGGAGGCTGAGGCAGGAGAATCGCTTGAACCCTGGAGGTGGAGGTTGCAGTAAGCAGAGATTGTGCCACTGCACTCCAGCCTAGGTGAAAGAGCAAGACTCTATCTCCAAAAAAAAAAAAAAAGAAATATATATATATATATGCAAGCTTGTTCGTTGCGGCATTATTGTTAATAGTGAAAGGCTAAAAAAAAAAAAAGACCTGAATATTCAACAACAGAGGAATGGTTCAATGATACTTCACTCTGTCATCTATCCTTACCCTCCCCTGTGTCTGTCACTTTTAATTCTGTTTTCAAAGGCACAAGAAAATAGGTATCCTTCCACACACACATGGAACACAAACCTCACCTTTATGTGACCGCCAATGTGAATCTCAAGCCAACGATTTTGTTCACTCTTTCTCAACACCTTTTTTTTTTTTTTTTTTTTTTGAGACAGAGTCTTCCTCTGTCACCCAGGCTGGAGTGCAGTGGTGTGATCTCGGCTCACTGCAACCTCTGCCTCCCAGGTTCAAGTGGTTCTCCTGCCTCGGCCTCCCAAGTAGCTGGGATTACAGGCGTGTGCCACCACGCCCAGCTAATTTTTTGTATTTTCAGTAGAGACAGGGTTTCACCATTCAACACATTTTCTTTTGCCTCTAGTTCTACTTTCCTGATAACTAGATGGAAAAAAATGCTTGCTGGCTGGGAAAAAAAAAAAAAGCAATTAAAATTATGTACATTTGGTTTAAAATTATCTGTTTGTAATTTTTATATCTAGCCAGGTATGATGACTCCTGCTTGTAATCTCAGCACTTTGGGAGGCCAAGGCGGGGAGATCATTTGAGCTCAGGAAGTCAAGACCAGCCTGGGCAACACAGCAAGACCCTGACTTTACAAAAAATATTTTAAAAATTAGCTGGGCGAGGCCGGGCGCAGTGGCTTAAGCCTGTAATCCCAGCACTTTGGGAGGCCGAGACGGGCGGATCACGAGGTCAGGAGATTGAGACCATCCTCGCTAACACGATGAAACCCCGTCTCTACTAAAAAATACAAAAACTAGTCGGGCGAGGTGGCGGGCGCCTGTAGTCCCAGCTACTCGGGAGGCTGAGGCAGGAGAATGGCGTAAACCCGGGAGGCGGAGCTTGC